AATGTGGGAAAATGAGGGAAAATGTGGGAGAAATGGGGTTTTCCTTGGGAAGTGCTCCGGGTTTGGGGGTTTTGCTTTGGGATTGGCAGGGATGGGGCCGAGGGGGCGGCGGTCCCTGTGGAATATTCCGGAGGAAATGTGGGATGTGCTCCTGACCCCTGCCCGTGTCCAGGTGGGGCTGCCATGAGGGCCGGGCTGCAGGAGGGCGACCGGATCCTCAAGGTGCGCGTTCCCGACTCCCGCGTTCCCGGCGGCCTCCCCGCGTTCCCGGGGAAAATTCCCGTTTCCCGGCCCTTGCCCAGCCCTGTCCCGGCTCTTCCAGGTGAACGGGACCATGGTGGCCAACAGCTCCCACCTGGAGGTGGTGAAGTTGATCAAGTGTGAGTTTGGGCTGGAATTCTGGGAATTCTCGTCCCGTTCCGTGGGGAAAGGCGGGGCTGTGGGAAGGGGAGAGGGTTTTCCATCCTTTGGGAATTTGGGGGGAGCCTGGAGGTGTTTCCAGCCCCTTTTTCCCCGCGTTTTTTTAATCCTTCTTGTCCCTCATCCCAAATTCTCCCTGGAAATGCTTCCCACTCCCAGTTCTGGAAATATTTTCCTGGAAATTTTCCCTGGAAATCCTTCTCGCCTCTTTTCCCAAGTTTTTCCTGGGAATCTTTCTCACCCCCTTTACCCCAGGTATTTCCTGGAAATCCTTTTCCCCCCATTTTCCTGGAGATCCTTCTCGCTCCCTTTTCCCAGCTGATTTTTGGAATCCCCCTCATCACCCCTCACCCCAAATTTTTCCAGGAAATCCTTCTCCTGGAATTTTTTGCCTGGAATTTCTTCCTGTGTCAGTTTTCCCTGCGAGCCCCGCTCCCAGCCCCTTTATCCCAGACTTTTCCTGGAATTCCTGCTGACGTTCCCGTGTCCCGTTCTGTTTCCAGCCGGCGCCTACGTGGCCCTGACCCTGCTGGGATCCGCGCCCGGACCCGCGGGAATTCCGGGATCCCAGCCGGAGCCGGAGCCCTCGGGGTGTCCCCAGGGGCCCCCCCAGCTCATCACGGAGCCCAGGCCCCTCCAGGTGAGCCCCGGAATTCCGGAGGGAGCCCGGAATTCCGGAGGGAGCCCGGAATTCCGGAGGGAGCCCGGAATTCCCTCAAGTGACCCCAAAACTCCCCCAGGAGATCCCGGGATTCCCTGAGCGGATCCCAACCCCCTCATACCTGTTCCCATTGCCATCCCATTCCCATTATTCCCATTATTCCCATTATTCCCATTATTCCCATTATTCTTGTTCCTGTTCCTGTTCACATTCCCATTATCCCATTCCCACTATACCCATTAATTCAACCCTTCCCCCCATTCCTGTTATTCCCATTATCCCGTTATCCTATTATTCCCATTATCCCATTATCCTGTTATTCCCATTATCCCATCATTCCTATTATTCCCATTATCTCATTATCCTGTTATTCCCATTATCCCCCCATTCCTGTTATTCCCATTATGCCATTATCCCCTCATTCCCGTTTCATCCCCCCATTCCCATTGTCATTCCCGCCGTCATTCCCGTTATTCCTGTTATTCCCGCTGTCATTCCTGCTGTCATTCCCGTTGTCATTCCCGTTATTCCCATTGTCATTCCCGTTATTCCCGCTGTCATTCCCATCATTCCCACTGTCATTCCCGCTGTCATTCCCATTGTCATTCCCGTTATTCCCATTGTCATTCCCATCATTCCCACTGTCATTCCTGCTGTCATTCCCATTGTCATTCCCGTTATTCCCGCTGTCATTCCTGCTGTCATTCCCATTGTCATTCCCATCATTCCCACTGTCATTCCCGCTGTCATTCCCGTTATTCCCGCTGTCATTCCCGCTGTCATTCCCGCTGTCATTCCCGTTATTCCCACTGTCATTCCCGCTGTCATTCCCGCCGTCATTCCCGTTATTCCCACTGTCATTCCCGCCGTTATTCCCGCTGTCATTCCCGCTGTCATTCCCGTTATTCCCGCTGTCATTCCCGCCGTCATTCCCGTTATTCCCGCTGTCATTCCTGCTGTCATTCCCATTGTCATTCCCATCATTCCCACTGTCATTCCCGCTGTCATTCCCGCTGTCATTCCCGCCGTCATTCCCGCCGTCATTCCCGCCGTCATTCCCGCCGTTCCCGCTGTCATTCCCGTTATTCCCGCTGTCATTCCCGTTATTCCCGCTGTCATTCCCATTATTCCCGCCGTCATTCCCGTTATTCCCGCTGTCATTCCTGCTGTCATTCCCATTATTCCCGCTGTCATTCCCGTTATTCCCGCTGTCATTCCCGCTGTCATTCCCATTGTCATTCCCGCCGCATTCCCGCCGTTCCCGCAGGACCCGGAGGTGCGGAGGCACGCGGCGCAGATCCTGCGGAAGATGCTGCGCCAGGCCGAGGCCGAGCTCCAGGTGCCGCCTCGCTTTCCCTCTTCCCGCTCCTCTGGCGCCTTCTGGGGAATTCCCTGGGAATTTCCTGGGGGGTTTTCACTTTTTTTGGGATTTCCTGGGGTGTTTTTTCTGGGATTTCCTGGTGGTTGTTTATTTGCTTCTGGGGATTTCCGGGTGACTGTTGTGTGTCATTCCCGTGTTCCCTGGATTTCCCAGTGAGTGTCCTGTCCCATTTTCCGTGTTTTTTGTTGTTTCCCGGGTTTCCCGGTGACTGTTGTGTGTCATTCCCGGGTTTCCCGGTGACTGTTGTGTGTCATTCCCGGGTTTCCCGGTGACTGTTGTGTGTCATTCCCGGGTTTCCCGGTGACTCTTCTGTCCGATTCCCGGGTTTCCCTGTTGTGCCTCGTTCCTGCCTTTCCTGCTGACTGCTGTGTCTGATTCCCGTGTTTTCCCGGATTTCCCGGTGCCCTCTGTCCCATTCCCGGTGCCCGTTTGTCTCTCATTCCCGGATTCATTCCCGGTGCCTGTTCCGTGTCTCATTCCCGGATTTCCCGGTTCCCTCTGTCCCATTCCCGGTGCCCGTTCTGTGTCCCATTCCCACATTCCCGTCTCTCATTCCCGTGTCCCATTCCCACATTCCCGGTGCCCGTTCCGTGTCCCATTCCCACATTCCCGTCTCTCATTCCATGTCCCATTCCCGGTTCCCGGTGCCCATTCCCGTGTCCCATTCCCGAATTCCCGTCTCTCATTCCTGTGTCCCATTCCCGGATTCCCGGTGCCCATTCCCATGTCCCATTCCCACATTCCCGGTGCCCATTCCGTGTCCCATTCCCGTATCCCATTCCCACATTCCCGGTGCCCATTCCCGGTGCCCATTCCCGGTTCCCGGTGCCCGTTCAGTGACCCATTCCCAAATTCCCGGTTCCCTCTGTCCCATTCCCGCATTCCCGTCTCTCATTCCCATGTCCCATTCCCGATTCCCGGTGCCCGTTCCCGGTGCCCATTCCCACATTCCCGGTGCCCATTCCCGTGTCCCATTCCCACATTCCCGGTGCCCATTCCCGGTGCCCATTCCCGGTTCCCGGTGCCCATTCCCGGTGCCCATTCCCACATTCCCGTCTCTCATTCCTGTGTCCCATTCCCGGATTCCCGGTGCCCATTCCCGGTGCCCATTCCCGTGTCCCATTCCCGTATCCCATTCCCACATTCCCGGTGCCCATTCCCGGTGCCCATTCCCGTGTCCCATTCCCGTGTCCCATTCCCACATTCCCGGTGCCCATTCCCGGTGCCCATTCCCGCATTCCCGGTGCCCATTCCCGGTGCCCATTCCCGGTTCCCGGTGCCCATTCCCGGTGCCCATTCCCGAATTCCCGGTGCCCATTCCCGGTGCCCATTCCCACATTCCCGTCTCTCATTCCCGGTGCCCATTCCTGTATCCCATTCCCACATTCCCGGTGCCCATTCCTGGTGCCCATTCCCGGTTCCCATTCCCACATTCCCATCTCTCATTCCCGGTGCCCATTCCCGGTGCCCATTCCCGGTTCCCGGTGCCCATTCCCGGTGCCCATTCCCGGTGCCCATTCCCGGTTCCCGGTGCCCGCAGCGCTGCCAGGCGGGCGCGGCGGGGCAGGAGCAGCTGGAGGCGGCGCGGCGGCGCCTGGGGCAGCTGCAGCTCAAGGTGCTGCAGGAGGTACGGGGAACCGGGAATACCGGGAATACCGGGAATGCTGGGAATGCCGGGAATTCCGGGAATGCTGGGAATGCCGGGAATACCGGGAATGCCGGGAACGGGAGTGGGCCGGGAATGGGTACGGGAATAGGCCGGGAATGTGTGTGGGAATAGGCCAGGAATGCTGGGATTGGGCTGGGAATTCCAGGAGTGGGCTGGGAATTCCAGGAATGGGTGTGGGAATGGGTACAGGAATGGATCTGGGAATGCTGGGAATGGATACGGGAATTCTGGGAGTGGGAATACGGGAATGGGCTGGGAATTCTGGGAGTGGGTCTGGGAATTCTGGGAGTGGGTCTGGGAATTCTGGGAGTGGGAATTCAGGAGATGGATATGGGAATTCTGGGAGTGGGAATATGGGAATGGGTGTGGGAATTCTGGGAGTGGGTCTGGGAATTCTGGGAGTGGGAATACGGGAATGGGTGTGGGAATTCTGGGAATGGGTGTGGCAATTCTGGGAGTGGGTCTGGGAATTCTGGGAGTGGGAATACGGGAATGGGTGTGGGAATTCAGGAGATGGATATGGGAATTCTGGGATTGGGTGTGGGAATTCCGGGAGTGGCTCTGGGAATTCTGGGAGTGGGTCTGGGAATTCTGGGAGTGGGAATACGGGAATGGGTGTGGGAATTCTGGGAGTGGGTCTGGGAATTCTGGGAGTGGGTCTGGGAATTCTGGGAGTGGGTCTGGGAATTCCGGGAGTGGGTCTGGGAATTCTGGGAGTGGGTCTGGGAATTCTGGGAGTGGGTCTGGGAATTCCGGGAGTGGGTCTGGGAATTCCGGGAGTGGCTCTGGGAATTTTCCCATCGCTGCCTTTCCGGGAGCTCCTGGAATTGCCCATTCCTGCATTGGGAATTCCCGGAGCTCCCCTTTCCTGCCTTTCCCACCTGCGCGTTTCCCGGGAATTCCCCATTCCCGCCGTTCCCATTCCCAGGATTTGGGGTCCCGGCCCCTGGAAGGGGAATTCCTGCGGAGCCTGGCGGGGTCCCCGCAGCTCCCGGGGCGATTCCCCCGGGATTCCCGGGATTCCCGGGATTCCCGGGATGGGGACCCGGGGCTGGAATCCGGCCCCGAGCGGCTCCCGGCCCTGGCAGAGGTGAGGCGGAAATCCGGGAAAAATCCGGGAAAATCTGGGGAAATTCTGGGAACAACTGGGAAGTGACAGGGGAAATTCGGGAAAAGGGGGGGGGTGAAAATCCCAAGGAAACTTCGGGAAAGTTCCAGGTAAGGTTTGGGGACATGGGGGAAAACTCAGGGAAAAGAAGGAGAAATAATTCCAGGAAAAATGTGGGAGAGGGGATGAAAATTCTGGGAAAAACTCCATGAAAAGTTTGGGAAAACGGGGGGGGAAATTCCAGGAGAGGGAGAAACTCCCCCCGGAATTTGGGATCCCCCAGAATTCCCGGCTCTTTTTCCTTCTCTGGGCGTTTTCCCTGGGAATTCCGAGGGAATTTGGGATTCCCGCCTGCCCTGGGGGGTTTTTGGGGGTCCTGATCCCGAAATTTCTCTCCCCAGGTATCCCGGAATTCCGGCTTTTCCCAGCCCGGCAGCCCCCGGAGCTCCCCCGTGCTCGGCCTCGCCACGGATCCGGTGGGGCTGGAAAATCCCGGGAGAATCCCAGGAAATCCCGGGAATCCCCACGGGGACCCCCCAGAGCCCTTCCCCGGAGCGTGATCCCGGTTTTTTTTTTGGGATAGGGATCGGGGAGGCCCCAAATCATCGGCCCCGAGGAGGATTGTGACCCCGGGAGCGGCAGCAGCGAGGTGGGAATCCCGGGAAAAGCGGGAATTCCGGGGGATCTGGGAATTCCGGGG